TTTTCCTCCATTGAATTTCAATTATTTAAAAAGCATGAGTTTTCAACTTTTACTCCAGTTTCATTTTTTAGAAAATCACGGGGCAAAATTTGTATGGAAACCATACCTTCTTCTTGGAACATACATGTACATGTATTATCATGTCCTTGGATTTCATTTAAGTTTTTGTTGGAAATAAGCTCCTGCTACTATTCCTGTACCTCTATTGAAATGAAAGGTTGGAAATTGTACATGAATACTGTATATTCTGATATTTATAGTAACTGAGTATATTAATTGTATTTGTTATTTAACTCTTATATTGAAAGATTCTTTTTAAAGTCAAAAATAAGGAACAATATTTAAAATTTGTTTTATGTTCATGTTTAAATTGCTTTCAAGGACATACATTTATTTCCTCATTTTTATTTCACTTCACTAGGTTAGAGATTTTTAAAAAAAGGAGAATAATTGAATTAAAATGATTATCTTTGAAATTTTTTTTCTAGAATTACGGGGAAAATGAGATGCTGTGCAGATTATAGAAATGTATCCGGTATTTGTGAACGTACGTTATTTATACCAGTGTATTTTATTTATACATATACCTGGTACTTCAGCAACCAGTTAATGCTCAAAAGAATATTATTTATAATATGAAGTGGCAAGAAAAGTTAAAAAAACTGTCAAAGTAGAATTAAAAACAAAATAATCGACGTAATGATATTTCGAGTTTACTAATGTAAATGCGTACTTTGATATGTTTCCGGTATCTTGTGTATAATGTCTGATAAAAAACATCGAGAATTTCTTTTGGGCGGGGGCTAGAAAAGTAGTGATTGCATTTATGCAAACATTTTGGATTAAAATGGCATTAAAATGGACAATTTCTAAAATTAGACACTCTATTGACAAACAGATTGGTGAAACAAAAATATCAATTATTTCGTTTGAAGCCTACACTTTGCAAGTTTTATGATCGATATAATGACATTGTCAGAAAATTCAATCTGTCAATATGTAAAATCCTGACAGACGTTTTTCATACAAATTGTTTGGCCACCATCTACAGATTGAATTGCCTAGAAATGTTTCGTTGTTTCCCTATCATGACAAGGCATGCGTGTATCTTTCGAACCCCACCCCCACCCCCAATGGAATTTGCAGAGATATTAAATTGATGCAGTAAATCAGTAAAAAGTGACCTTGGACCCCCTAGAAAACGGATACCCACCTCCTTTAGAACACGGACCTGGGTGTTAAGTATGTAGGAAAAGTAATATGTATAAATTATAAAGCATTAGAACTCAAAAGTCAACCACTACACCTAAAATTTTTTATAGGTCCTAAATGGGCTTCCGTAACATTACAATTATAGGTCTACAATATTCAAAATGTATTTTCTACTTTTAGAGAATGTCATTAAATTTCATGTCAAATTCTTCCATTGTTTAGCATGCTATGGATCGTTTGGTAGAGATTGTGCCAATCCTTGTCGTGATGGGTTCTATGGCCATGGGTGTAAGATGGAATGTAATTGTTTGTAATTGTTTGAGCTTCCAGTGGTGTGACCGGGTTAGTGGATGTGTTAATATGCTTCGTGATCTGAATATCTACCATCTGCATGTACAGTCCCTGTAGATCACTAAATTTTCGCGACACCTTATTTTCGCTAGATAGTCATTGACTCTTGTTTAGCGAGACAAAATTTTAGCGAACACACTGTCCCGCGTTATTATGTTCGCGAAAATAAAGTTCTCGTGGATAAAAAGTGATTTACAGTATTTAAAAGAAATTATATTTTTAAACATCCTTATAATTGTTTTATATTATCATTTCTTCATTTCTTTCTATCAATGAAAATGTAGCTCAATTGGTAGAGCATTCAATCGCTTCCTAGGTGAAAAGCTGTGGGTTTGCACTTCTGTTACAACAGAATATTGATATTGGCGGCCACGTGACGCACTCTGTAGCGTTCTGTCACAAAAGTTGAAAGATTTTTTATTTTTTTTCCATGTGAATTAATTTTTATGACAAGACAGTTTATTTGTCAGAAATGGTCAAATCTCGGCAACAGAATGTATTTGATAAGAATATCCCTTCCAAAAATAAGCATGGCGACCATTAAAACACAAATTATCTGTCTCAGGAGAGGCCTTTAATTAAGATGGATAGAGAATTGGTGCCTCCTTTTCATCATATCTAATATGTTTAAAATATAAAGTAAACGAAATCTTAGGTATTTAATAATTATATTATTCTTCAAATATTCAACTATTTTTCAAAGTGTAAATTGGAGGTCTTTGATAGCAAATTGCTTAATTAAATATATATATCTTTTCGAACTTGCTTTCACTGGGCAAGATGACGAGTATCATTTTTAACCATCTGCCTTCCTTCACTAAAACGATCAATCTAATCATTAATTGAATTAATAGGAACTTAATTATCTTAATAAACCGTGTACAGATTATTATATGATACAGTAGAGGGATTTCTAAGATATACAATGAATTGTGGAGTCGTTTGTTGAACGAGTTTGACTGAGACAACCATTTTTCGTCACAATTGACCTACATAGTGACGTCATATTCACATTCTAACGTCACAAACAAGGAGAAAAACTTTATTCAGCATAATTATGTCATTTATAGACCTTGTGTATAGTTATGTGTGTACCGAATTTCATTCTAATCTGAATTGTGGTTTTGTAGATATAGAGATAGTTCGCGAACTTTTTGATCATCCCTCGTATAAGATGAGAGTCCCCCTTTTGTGGGAATTGTTTGCATGGTAAACATCCTTTACTATTTAATTTATCTGAATGCCGAATAAATGTTTATCTTAAAACTGAACACCATTATCAAAAGGAATATATTCGCCATATTCGGATCTGAGGACCCCTATTTAGCCGCTTACTCAGTCACTGTTCAGTTTATTCATTTGTCATCAATGAAGATGAATGCATGCTACAGGACTTTTAATGCTGTCTGACTGATTGTTTTGCATCAGGACTAGATATACACGTAACCTAGGAATTTTTATCGATAATTCTAGTGCTGAACAAATTAAATTCCTTAATATTTTAACATGAGAATAAAATACAAGTTTTTCTCTTCAAAACATTGTACAACATATAATATTTATCTTTAACAAAATTTATAAAAAGCATCTTTGCAACGCGCCCTTGTTCAAAGCACATTTTCAAAATAGACCTCCCTCTCCCCCATTTCCCAAATGTTCAGAAACTTTATTTCTTTAACTGATATAGAGTCCCTAAGATCTAAATATTGATATAATATGTTTTCAGGTATTAAATCTTATTAGTACCAAAATTTTACGAATTCTTTAATCACTGTCATACAGGCAAGTAGCATCGTAAGGTGTTTAAAACAAACACGTTTACGCGAACATAGTTTCGTAATTAAAGTATTTTAAAAAAATTATATTTTCATCCTTTAATTATAAAAGATTAAGGACATCAGTTTTCTATCAAGTGTGAAAATGTAGCTCAATCGGTAGAGCATTCAATCGCTCCCCTAAAAACTTAGTTTGGGTTAAATACTTACTGTATCATTTCCATAAAAAAACACTACATTTTGAGATTGTATAGCTTGTTGTTCTCGAAAAGTTTTGAAAAAAAATTGGTGAAGGATGACAAATATTTTAATACCATACAAACCATTAAAAATATTTATTGCATGCAAAATTAGTGCTGTTTTCTCATTTTTTTCCTCGGTTTATTTCTGCCGCTATCTCAAAATTCTACCTTCCCTGTATGTTTTATATTCTTTTAATTCTTGCAAAACACAACATATAAAAAAAAACTGTTGTTTAAGCCCTTCCGGGTAAGAAAATTGAGTTTATTAAAATTATGAATATTTATCATTTGTCATCAATGAAGATTAATGCATGCTAAGGACTTTTAATCTGACTGATTGTTTTGCAAAGCGCTTAGATGCATACTTGTAACTAGGAGTTTTTTATGGATTTTTAAGTGAAATGTTCATGGTTATAAAATATATAACATGATTAAAATAGTTTTTTTTAAAAATGTACAACATACAATATTTATCTTTAAAAAAAATATCGAGAGTAAATGCCATTTTTGCGCGCAATAGATATACACATTTTTTCAACGTGTGTCAAGGAAGCTCTCTGATAATCAACCCCAATTTTTATAAGCCCAAAGATCAGCAATTGATATTTATAACAGGTTGAAATAAAGCGAAGTCAAAACTAGATTGATGGAAATTGTTTCATTACATGCAGCTTTATATCAAATGCAAATTATTTTAATCATAGAGAGATGTCAAAGTGTTCCGGTAAAGTGTTTTACATTTAGACTTATTATACAAAAGCATTCACAACCTCAGGGCAGTGAGTGTTCTTTATCATACCATCACCTACTGTAACAAGAGACCTCGGTTTAAAATGGTTTATCTTTTAATAAGACCACACAAAAAAGGAGCAGAACAAAACATCAGAGGTTGGATCATTTGCAACGGAAGAGTGAGAATTTAGATTTCAACAAAGATCGATTCCCTGGCTCCCGACCACAAAGCAAATACCTAACTCTCTAAATCAATTTAAATCTACGCTTTTATTGATTGGTGCATTTCGAGTAAACAAAATGTATAAACATACAGATTTTTATTTATTTCTCTCCTTTACTCTTCAGAGAAAAATATCAGCATTTGCAAAAGCAAGTAAGTAATGTTTTTAATGCATTATTCCAAAAGAGATAGCCATGTACCAAATATTAAGATAGCAATAATTTTAAAATATAAACATGTAGTTGTGTAAAATGTTTTTCAACTACCTAACCTTTTGTCTAATAATTGTACAGTCATGTAACAAACCATTCGAAAACAAAAAGACGGGAAAACGAGTATATAGAAAGAAATACAAGCAGTTTTTCAATATTTTTATATAAAGAGGGCATTTATTAGACTTCCTGATATAATGGTATAAGGCATCACTATCTAAACTGTAATACAATGTATTTTTGTTTAAGTATAACTGCAGAGGATGAATGTTGTAGAGATTATTATAGAAATGACCCGGGATCATGCGAACGTGAGTATTAGTTTTTAAATTAAAAATCTGTTTCGGCAATAAATCAAAACGATGAGATTGACCTTACTTTAAAAAGTTTTTTATCCAATTTAATTTACAGCTTGTATTGGATTCAGTGGATATAACTGTTCTAAACCTTGTGAGTTTGGATTCTTTGGACATGGTTGTCGTGAGAAGTGTAACTGCAGTAGTGATACTCATTGGTGTGATGTATACAAAAATTTGGTATAAAAAGTTATAAATGTTTTAATTTCTGGTATTTTTCAATAGAAAAATTAAATTGCTTTCTTGTTAATTTTATGTAATGAATCCTGACACGGGAAACATATATAATGATATCTTGTATTTAACTTGCAAGATAATGTAAATATGAGTTATCATGTCAGTATAACATTTTTCTCTATAACAATATGCAGACACATATTTATTGCTCATCGAAATTTTTACTATCATGCACTTTTTTTTCTGGTGATGCAAAAACATTCCCGGTATATCGAGATCATATCTGCAAATAAACTAATTACAAACACACACAAACACTAATACTTTTTTATTCGTTAGATTTAAAACAACAATGGTATCATTCATTAAATAATATAAATTGAACTTATAAATATTTTAACAATGATAATAATTTTCGATTCTTACCGTATTAGTACAAATTTTAACGTTGAATTTAATTTTGGCTTTTAATCGAGGTTGTTTGGTGAAATAGATTTTCACTGACACTGGCCTTAAATTTATTGCTATCTTTCTATGCATAATTTAATTGCTAAAATTATTTTACGCTCAACTGTATCTTCCCTATTTCACAAAAAATATAGATAAGATTTCTCAATACAATGTATCGAAGGCATATTGTATGGAGTTTCGGCATTCTGCTATAACAGACTTGGGGAAGCATGTCTTTATTTAGCCATGCGTTTAGACAGTGAAGATTAAACATATGAAGATAACGAACGGTATTCAAGATCAAACGTCCATTAAACAATACAAAAAAGGAGCAGAGCAAACAGGGACCTCCAAAACATCAGAGGTGGGATCAGGTGCCATGGAGGAGTAAGCATCTCCTGCTTACCGGTAACAACCGTTGTATGCTCCTTGTCATGATCAGGAAATAACGGAAAAATCCGTCGTCCATTCAGTGTATAAATAATGCACTAACAATTAGTATGAAAAACGTCAGTCAGCATTTGACTCAATGATAAATTGTATTTGCTGACATGGTTATTGTACCCATCATAGAATTTACGAAATGATGACTTCAAACGAGACTGCTGATGTATCTAAAAGATAATTGACAATGCGAGTTGTAGCTAAACATAGCGTTTAGCTTTGGAGATTGAAAACTATAGTTAACAACATAGGAAAAATAGTGTTTTACATTTAATTTTAATAAGCGAGACTGATGACTTAGTGCCTCTGATTATGTCATAAACTTATTTCTTTTCCTTGATAAGATAAAGAAATCATAGGCACAAAAGGAGAACTTCAAACGCACCATTTAGTTTTAACAGCAGCTGGGTCTATAGGTGTTTCTTCTGGGTTATGGATTATGCTGTATATTCTGTACAAATGGTGGGCTATGCATTTTATCTGTATTTAAAAGTATGATTGTAAAGAAATCAAAATATCACTAGTTTTATCTTATATTATGTCATCTACAATCACCTTAAAAGTTTAAATCACTCACTTTTTGAATGGGACATTTCAAAAGTGAAGTAGTCTTACGAACATTTACTTTTTGAAAAACTAATCTCAATGAACGAGTTTCTTTGTCTAAAATTAATGTTTATTTAGGCAGAGAAGAAGACACTGCACTGAAAAGAAAGATGGAAACTTAACAGGTAAGGAATTCCAATGCAGAAATTTTATTCAAATGTTTCAAGTAAGTTCTTCGAGAAGTTGTTACCTTCAAGCATGATGGGACGTAGCAACAGTAATAATTTGCTTAACAATTTTTCTTTTTATCCAAAACAATGTCTTTCTCCTGGAATGTATCTGTGATACAAGAATTTGGCTCAGATTCAAAAGCATTGGAACCGGATAGTTTGGAACAACAGCGACCATATAGTTCCGTTAAGTAAAATAGAAACAAAAGAGAAGACAAACAAGAAAATGCACTTGATTTTGCTTCGGATGAATTACAAATGGAAGTTGAAAAAAGAAGTAATGTGAAAGATATTGATGAAGTCTATGGATTCAATATGAAAAAAGTACAATGTATGAGAAGCCATGAAATTTAAAATGATAGATTCAATTTTTGTTAATGAAACTTTGTAATTGTTGACTTCAAATAACAGTTTAATACTTTTTAAAAAGAAATTGCATATACTTACTAATGCATAAAATAATATTGCTGTGATAGGATTCGGAGTAATAATTATTTACATTGACGAAATATTTCACATCGACTGAGATCTTGCGAACACGGAGAATGGCAAAGTTCTAGAAACGTGTCTCTCCTCAAAATAAAATTCTATTAACCCTATGTGCGTATTTGCAGCAGAGCTGTAAATACTGGAACTTGGATTTCCCTCACAGACTTCTCAATAAAATTTTACACAATTATAGGAAATTATCATTTTTTATACTTTTCTAAGATTTTTTAAAACCATACCACATGACTTAAAAGAAAACCGGCGTAAGACTTGCTCTAGTCTACCGATTCGACTTGTTACACTTATTCTTCTTTTTATGCCATTAAAAGTACGCCAATAGTTTGACACCTATCACGCAGTGTTTTCAGTTCTTCTTTTTATAATAAAATATCTTTATATACAACTGGCCAGCCATCCTTTAAGAAATATTGCACTCATTTCATAACTAGAACTATACCTATAACTATGCTGGGAATTTAAATAAGATGCACACATAACATTATTATAATCAATAAAATATGCTAAAAGAATCTGATTGGTTTTGTTTCTGGTCAGCAATAACCTCTGTAGAATTAGCTTTTAAAGGTTTATTATTGATCTGTAGTAATTCCGTGAATGCAACGTATTAGCAAATCAGTCATCTTTCCATGAAGGATTGTCATACGAATTAATGACCTTTTTACAATATTCTGCCAATAGTTTTGATTTGACAACTGATATGGTCTATACATGTGCATAAAACAATCTTACTAGATGGTTTTACTTTAATCCAGAGAACCTTTTTACTTAAATCTAGTGTAGGCGAGGTGCACAAAATTTAATGATAATACATTTATAAATTAAAAAAAATAGAAAAGTTTAACATTCCTATCCTATAACATGATTAATATAAAATATATATTAGACACATTGTTCAATTTCAAACGTTTTATTTTTAATCTTCACCAAAAGATCTTCCCTTCCCCAGGAAATAAAAGGAAATAACATTAATAAATGCTGGCAGCCATTTAATATTCTTTTCTGTTAAGGAATGTATTCTTCTATATTGCCAATCATGGAACCATGCCATTCATTTAAATAGATATTAAATGAAAGGCAATGATAAAGTGCCATATTTACTTGATGCACCAGATGTTAAATGTATGCATCCATATATCTACAAAACCCTATTCTAATGATAATTAAAAGTTCAGATTAATCAAGTGGAATTGAAGGCGAATTAATACAACGATAAAACTATTCACCTGCTATTGGTGTTGGGGTACAACTTCCACACATTTTTTGACAATATTGATTCATAAACTGGGATTGTCAACAGGCTGAGCTATATACGGTACAGTTGTTATAAACATCCACACAGGCCCTGAAGTGTGTACAATGTAAGGATTATACTTGTTGATATCCATGGAAAGTTGTTAAATTTAATGTTTACTCAATTATTAATAAAACGTGTTATATGTACATATATCAAAGTTGAATGCTGTTAAAATTTCATATCAGGGTTTCCTTATTCCTTAGATTTTGTTAAATATTTTTTTTCGAATATGTGGATCTGTTGGTTTCTCAACGAGCTAATGATTTTTGCTGAGAAAGTATACAGTTTTTAATAAAATTTGTTCTCAAAATAGCCTCTGTTTTTGGTCACACTGTTATGATTTTCTAATCGTGTTTCATCATATTTGTTTTAATAAAGTGCACTACAATTGAGCAATCAGAGCTACTAGATAACTGTACCTGGAGTCTTGGTTGCTGTTGTTGTTGTTGGTTCTGTCACTTTGTCTTGGTTATAATATCCTGAAATATGTGGTTCACATAATAAAATCCCTCAGACAAAAGACTTTCAACATTTTTGCATTTCAAATAATTCTTACAAAAAATGTATGGGGTTCTAATTATAATACGGTTTACTTTATTTTCTCTTTATCTTTTTATTATCATAATTATTTTTTTTCCATTTTCTCTTCAACAGCTTTAATATTACAAATTGTTTGCAAATATATATAAAAATGGTCACATTATGAAAATTTGAAGATTTCGTTTTGCTTAGAATTAAGAGATATTCTGAAGACACGGCCTTGTTACTGAAAAAAACGTATTCAAAATTTCCTCCATTAATTACTTTTCAAAAAAGATAGGTCTAGAACACACTTTAACCCACTAAAGTTATTTAATTAAGATTTTTTCATTGCAATATGAAATGAGTGGGGATAAAGAACAGTAATCAAGCTTGAAAGTTTTTTAAACAAAACAAATTTGGAGTAAAGCAAGCAAACACAGACCTCCAAAACATCGGAGGTGGGATGACGTGCCAAGGAAGAGTGAGTATCCCTTGCTTACCGGTCACAAACCTAGCCCACTAAATGGTCCCGCCTCCAATATCATTATAATGGCAAAATCCTTGTTTTGTTCTGAGAGACACGAAATAAGTGTCGGATCCAAAAATGAAATAGAACGTGCACAATTGCATTGCGTAATAAAGTATCTTTAAAGATATTATAATATTCAATGCTATAGGAGGAGTAGCGGATAATAGATTAAGAGATGGATACCCTTCAAAATTAGAGAAAGAATGGCAGTGCCCATGGGAAACTAAAATTCTATGAAAATTTCATTAAAATTAAAGTCAGTGCTATAAGAGGAGTACCGGTAGTTAAGAGATGGGTACCTCAAAACCTATTAGGCATCCCGAGCTCTATATACATGTACCCTCACTTTTCAATGCTTTGTCGGGATAATGAAATTAAACATCAGTGTTTGAAACAATAGCATGTCTTTAAAAATATGTGAAAAGTTTAATTCACTATTGTACTTTTAAAAACAGCATGTTTTGGGTCATTTGGATTAGAGTGTACCAATCTTTGTTTGGAGGGATTCTACCTTCATGGCTGTCGGAGTGCCTGTTCCTGTGGAAGTG